ATCTCAAAATCGAGTTTTTGCCCGGACACTGCCTCTAAGATCCGCTCGGTTGTGCTCATCCCTTGTGTCTGAGCATGGGTTTCTAATAGGATGAATGGTGGACACGCAAGCACGTGTTATTGATCGATGCGGTAAGACTCAGCTCTTGTGACTTCGCTAAAACTTCGTGATAGAATATAAGTATCATTGCTACCTATCTCACCTAAAATGCTCGATCACTGTGAAGGTTGGCACAACCCTACAATTGTAGTGAAATCCAGTTGTTCGCGGCCGCACACGCGAAGCGGCCGTAGACGTGAGGTGCCGGCGCGATAAAGGCTATTCATAGGTAACAACGAGCGAACACCTTTGGACTTATTTTTTATGAACTTTTGAAAACATTTTTGGCTAAAACATTTTGTGAAATGCTGAACCAACATGAATGTTGTCCTGATAATTCTCAGGGAATGAGCCGCCTATGCCTCGCAACAACTGCTCGCCTATGCTGGCAAAGCACAGCGTAAGCAATTAGGTTTTACAAAGCGCGTAGGTAGTGTCGCGGATATGCCAAATGTCAGTAGTGGAGAGCAAGCCTCATAACGCGAGATCACGAAGAGCAGATAGGCCGGTGGCAAGGGCCTCTAGGTGTGCATGGTGTTTAGTGTGGCAGGCTCCAACAGCGTTCTTCACAAGCATCGCTATCGTCATCGGATTATCTCCGAAGAGGACCCCCGGCTTCTGCATGTCGATGCATGCGAGCACCATTCACAGAAGCGCTAGGGTTAGAGATAGGGTCCAATCCGCGATACGATCTATCCGACAACACTTGCGCGCACACATGGAGCGCAGACCCCTTGCGCTGCGAGCTTCTTTTTAAAGTAACCTATCGGCCTAACCCAGACTGGGACAGACTATAAGTAAAAGCGTACGATTTGTGATCTGTTCTGGCACGCGCCAGAATTTCTCACTTCCCTCCCCCCTCTCTTTTCGGTCATGCCTTCTGAGCGTGGCCGCGTCCTCACCACTTGTTACGATACGTTCCTAGCGAACGGTAATAAAACGGGGTTA